GCCTAACCTAAAGTAATAAGTCTTTTGCCCTTTTGAGTCACTTAACATTAATTTTTGATAGAAGTTTTCTCAAACATTGAACAACCCAATCCTTGTAGAAATCTTTAATTGTACAAAACCGAAAACCCAAGGAGGCACTAATAGTGACATAAAGCAATGTGAACAGGTTGTTAGGTTTTAGTTTAGTTATCTGGTCTTTGTTTTGCTTTTATACAGTGCAGTAGTAGATTTTAGATTTCCAATTAAGAACCAGAAATGCTCCAAAATCTCCAACTTTTGGTAAAGATTTTGGGTTTTGGAGTTAGAGATCCTCTACTGGTACTCAATTCAAATTTTCTGAAATCTGACACATTTCACATACAGGATGCTCATGCTCTGTTAGCTTTAATTTAGCAGTTATGAATAATTAAAGAATTGAAGTGAGGTGTTTGGTCATGGAAGGATCCTTCAATGAGGTACTTAAGTTCCTAGATGAAGAAGGATTATTCTGATTAATAATGGTTGATTGAAAAGGGAGGATAGCAGAGAACATTAAAACTATAAAGGCTGAGAGATTTTTCCCTGCTTGGATATTAGCTCTCCAAAGTTTTTTTGATGTTGGCAAAAGGCATGAGACTTCTGTGTCAAAAACACATAACTCTGTACTCATTATACAGCAAACATTATGAGCTTCATGTTTATCTGATTTTTCCATCCCCCCACCAGTTCTCCTGAGATGACGCCACAGTGTGCCTAGGTGGGTGCTATGCACACAGCGAGTTTGCATAGCTGCTGAAAAAAAGCCCCATGTTTAGCAAACTTGAATCATTTATAATACACTAAAAGCAAACCTGCATGATGTTTGGCCTGGGGGAAGATATAATCTGTCTTCAAAACCGACAAACCTATCATTTTCCCTGGATGGAGGTACTATGTCATCCAAGATTGTTTGCTATAAAAAATTCCTTTAAAATATACACTGGAACAAAGGCCATCAGTCCCCCTGTTGCTAAGATGTACAGAAATATGAAAAATCCATAGATAATTTTCTCTACATAAGTATGTGTTAGCCATCAGTGAAGAGTCTTGCACAGATGGATACTAGAGATAATTAATTTACTTTGTGCTAATTTAAATCTATAGCATCTCTATACTTTTTCAGTGGAAATTAAGTAAACACAATACTGGTAAATGTTGATGCTGAAAATTGAGATCAGCAGGCATTCAGCATCTACTGAATGATAAATACTGTGGGAAACATGAGAGAGAAAATATAACCTATGCTTTTTACCTGATGATAAGCAGATCACACAGAGCTTACAAGACTACATGCATCCTAACTCATCAGTACTCTCTGGGACTAATTTTGACATGAATGTTTATAAAGTAGATCTGAATTGTTACTTTTCAGCCATGCCCATATATTGTTATTTTAGTGGCTAAAAAATTTGCTAAATTTCTTCTTTGATATTCTTTCACACAGTGAATGATATCAGATAATAGATATTACAGTTTGTAAGAAAGTGTGTATTTTCTGTATGTGCCCAATATTTTTTTTCATTATGAAATCCCTTTAAAAGGCTTTATTCTTGTCTTTAAACTTGGGCAAAAAAAGCAATTCAGTACTAATTACATCCAGGAATTCATGGTTTTGTGAATTTAAGAATTGCAAGTGAACTGTCAACCTAATACAATTAAATCACAGACAAAATTTCACTAAAATTCATTCAAAATTAAGGATAACATTTTTCAGGTGAACATGTTGGCTTCTACTTAGTCTTAGGAAGAAGCACTGAAATAAAATTGCTCCTAGGAATATATTCATAAAACTTTGAAACTAAACGCTTTCTTTTTAGCAGAACCATTTCACATAAGCATTCTCAAGAGCCAAATGACATGTAAGAATATTGGGTTTTGGAAAGACAGGAAGAGAAAAAAATCTTAAACACTACAGTGGTTTGTGGGCCTCCTGAATATGTATCTATATCTAGATATTTATATAGATATAATTTTGACAGTGGGTGAGAGGAAAAATGTGTGAAAGGATCCCAAGAATGAAGCATTGCAAAAACAAAATACAAAGACAAAAAGCAATATAATGGAAAAAAGAATGAGAAACACTGTTTTGCATTGTAATATTTTAATGAATATTGTCACATGGCGCTTGTTAGATTAAGCAAAGGGATTTATTTTTAACTTATCTCTACTTTGTCATATTTTCCTTCATTTTTGTTTAATCTCAATATTAATGATAGATCCAAATTTTAATGTCATACAGTAAAATTGTTCACTTTACATTTAATTATGTAAACTATATTTAAATTCTTTAAATATATACTGTTTTATATTCTGCTCTGTTCACTTGGAGTGCATATATTCAGTTTTTTATACACTTTTACAATTACCATTTTTATGAGGCCACATGAAATGTACTTGTTCTCTTGTTTTCTCTTGCTGCACTACTACAGCTCTGAAAATTTTTCAGTATAGCTTTGCAGCTTTGCTTTTCCTGACTACTTGGTAAAAACAAGGATTTTCCAGAGGGGTGGGAAGATTAGAGAAATTTTGCTCAAACGAGGTGGATTTCAGTTAGGAGAAAGACACACAAGAGGTCTATTGCACGTCATAGTGACTACAGTTTTTAGTAACATATTATAATACTTGAAAATTGTTAAGAATATAGATTTGAGGTCTTTTAACCACAAAATAATTTTAGGTATGTGCTGAATTTCTAATGTTAAATTAATGATTTAGCCATTTTATAATGTATATATGTATCAAAACATTGTATACCATAAATGTATATAATTTTTACTTTTATTTGTGGTATGCATTGCATGTCTATTAGACAGTGCTGGCTTTAAATCCATATAATGGTATTATGATCCAGCTACCACAGCCTTGCTCATTTCAACTTTTTTTAGTTATCTCAGAAATAAGGCAATCTTGGTTTTGGGCATGTAGCTTAGTGGTAGAACACTTTCCTAGTGAGCTCAAGGCCCTGGACTCATCACAAGCAGCACAAAGGTAAAACAGGAGACTGATCTTAACTGACTGGGAGCCCCTCCACACATCAGCTGTATGACGCTAAAGTTTCAGTATCCCTAGCTGAAAAGATACAACAAATGTAAAGCATGCACTGCCTAAAGTTTAATTCTCCCTGTTGCACTGTACCTGTGCCCATCACTTTCAATCCCTTTTTTCTTCCTTTGAAAAAAGTAAGGCTGGGCATATAGCTCAGTGTCACAGTGCCTAGCTCATAAGCATGAGGTCCTGAGTTTGATTCCTGCCCCCCCCCAAATGAAAAGTAAAAAGGAATATAAATGCAACCTGAAGTAAAACAGACACAGAAGCTTAAGTACAGGATGGCTGAGTCATATGAAAAGTCTAAAGTATAAACAAAGACAAAATAAAGACAAATATGATGAAGTAGGAAGATAGATGGAATGGGAACCAAGAGATGGGAGAGCATGGAAAGAACTGAGCTGTGTTGTATACCTCTACCAACTACTCTCAATCAGTATAAATGTGTCACAAACATGAGCTAGAAAATGAAATGCAAATGTGGGAAGGGGCTATGGACACAGAGACAGGGTGGATGTAGGGGAAGAGAAGAGGAATAAAAGGAATTAAGCTATTCTAAGTTCATGTAGCAAATGAACAAGCATAAATACATAACAAGCAGGTGACTAGTGATTGTTGTCTTTCAGATGTGTCAGCGACCTTGCTATTACATGCACAATCCTCTTTCACTGTTCAGTCACTGCAGCTGTCTTTCCTTTAATATTCATCTGATTCTGTACTGGAGAATGTCTGTATTTCCCTTCAGCTTTATTGAGTATCCTGTCCTAGAGAGTTTGTTTTTAAAAGAATAAGTTTTTATGATACTGAAAAGTCTCAAGTCAAGTGAAGAGCATAATCAAAAACGTGTTTGCTTGTTCTTGACTATAGGAGAGTTAATTGTTTAGACAAAGTAGGATTTAAATTTAACCTAGCATTAACTGCTAGCAGAGACAATGTCTTCTCTCACTCCTCCCTTTTGAACCCTCTTGCATAGAAATGTCTTCATCCCCAGACCCACACGTTTACCTATAGCTCAAAACAGAGAACGTCTTTAGGGTTCCTATTTAACACTTAGGCCAGTTGGTATAAAAACACTCAATTCCCTGTGGATCAGCCACAGCTTAATAGAGTTTCTAGTAATTGACACCTTGAGATAAATGCTCTAATAAATCTTAAAAATGTGTTTTATAGCCAGAGCTGTCAAAGATAAGAGTAAGAGGAAATGTTTTCAGTGCTATTTCTTAGTAACTTCCATGAACGTTTTTTGAGTACTCTGTTCCTGGCTTCCTAGCATTTTTATCTTCAGCACAAGAAAAGTTTAAGCATACAACAGTGTTCTAAAAAGGAAATGAGACATGGCTGATATCACTCAAAAGTAAAATGTAGCCTTTCAGATGATGTGGTCATCTTTTCTTTATATAATGGCAGCATTTCAGAAAAGAGTAAAGGGTGTGGAATAGGTAAGAAATGAATGTAAATGTATCTTGCAAATAGTGTCATTTTAGATAATTTCAAATGATGGTGGAATGCTGAAGGTATTAGTACAATCACTGTTTAACCTTGTGTGACTCTGCTTCATCAAATCACGCCTTCCACGTTGATTGCATTAAGCTGAGTCAGTGGGTTTTTTGCTTGAGAATATCTCATAAGAATCTTAACAGGAAAGCAGCAGTAGCTCATCGGCTCCTGTTTATTTGCATACTGAGCATGTCATCAATAATACAAAAGACAAAGTCTTTTAATGGAGAGAACAGTGGGATTGCTGTGAATGTTGCTTAATGGTGTGTAATAAGCCAAGTAGTCTGTGATGCCAAAAACTGACAGAGTCTTTTATGTTAAAACAGAGGTATGTCCTTAATTTAAGATTATTATGTAAATCTGACAGGAGTGTTTTTCTTTATTTTTCTGCTGCTGCACTTTAATTGCTCCAAGATTCATTCTTTTTTTTTCTCTTCTAGAAGGTGATGAAACTGGCGTGATGGATAATCTCCTAGAAGCCCTACAGTCCGGTGCAGCCTTCCGAGACCGAAGAAAGCGGATTCCACGGAATCCAGGTAATATTCATTCTATCTCATATGGTCTTATAAAATGATAATTTTCAGAGCCAAGAACCACCCACATTAAAAAAAAAGAAAGATGAAAAAAATCATTCACATGAAGACTTTAACAGTTGCTTGCAGTTTGTGTATGAAATTTCAGCAGGCTTCTATATGTATACAATGATCGCAAGTTTGAGTATGGTTAAGTATATCTTCAAATAAAAGTATACTTGCAAAATAAATCAGATAGATTCACATTGTTCTTACTTTTATTTTTTATTTTTTTTAATTTTTTTTTAATTTTATTTATTTATTTATTGTGTGTTTGTGTGTGTGTGTGTGTGTGGCCAGCTCTGCCCACCAGGGTGTGGGGCTGGCTGGCATGTGGTGCTGGGGGATTGAACCGCGGTCCCTGTGCTTTGCTTGGCTTAGCTTGTTCTAAGTAGGTGCTTTAGACCACTGAGCCATCTCACCAGCCCCTTACTTTTATTTTTGGAGACTGTCTCTTGCTATGTAGATCAGGCTGCCCTTGCCTTCACTGTATAGCCCAGGCCACTCTTGAATTCATGGTGGTATTCCCCTGGCCTCCCAAGTGCTGGGATTATAGGGATGCACCACCACCCCCTGCTACTATTAAATATTTCAGTTGTTATTATATAATCAAGTCTTTTCAGTGAAAAGCAGTTTAAACTCATAAATGAAATTATGTCATTAAAAATAATTGATCCAAACACTGTCAAATTCATATTATTCTGTGTGATGAAGTTATGTATCATTTCTAGTTTTTTTCTTTAATATTACTATTGTATAGTCTCTCCCTTTATTTATTTATTTATTTATTATTTATTTATTTATTTATGGCCAACTCAGCCTGCCCTGCTGGTGGGGCTGATGTGGTATGTGGTGTCTGGGATCAAACTGTAATCCCTGCTCCTGCCTAAGCTTGCCTAAGCAGGTGCTTTAGACCACTGAGCTATCTCACTGGCCCTATTCTGTAGTCTCTAAAAATTGAAAACAATAACTGGCCCCAAGTATGTAACATTCCTCAGGCAAGGAAACTGAGACATGCCTCTTTCCAGAGACCATTTTGGTTTTTCAATGCAAACTATTGTCCGTTAGCCATTTCATAAAAGGAGATTTCCCTGTAACCCAAGATTCTCCAAAATCACAAAGCATTAGAATGCATTTTTATGTGGGTCTTCACAACACACAACATAACACTATGAAAACTTGTCTCAGGTAGGGAACACTTCTCACTTAGGTGGAACTAGAAAATTGTTCTCCTTATTCGTACATAGCCTATATTTGAGATAAATAATATTGTTTCTCAATATTATCCAACTGAGATTAACTGTCCACCTTTTCCTCATTACATTTTGTATTTTCAGAGCCTATCTTTCATAAAGTACAGAATAAAATTAGGTATACTAATTTTAAAATTTGTCTTCATGTGCACTCTATGTAAAACTCTATGCACATGTAAATGAAAAAAACCCAACATTATTAGCAAATATAGAAACTCAATTTAAATCACAAAGATTTGACTGAATAGCCTATACTTCAAAAATGTTCTGTATGTGGGCTCGAAGTTATCTTACATTACTAAAATGGCAATTAGTATTTCTTGACATTGTTCAAATTCAATAAAGCAACTAGATAAATGGGATCCAGTATAGTGGTTCAGGAAAGCTTTTAGTAGTAGTGAAATTCACAGCACAAACCAAAATCAGTTTTGTTCATCTTTCTAATATTTGGGTGAATCCTGATAGGTAATGGGCAATATTCTACCTCTGTCCTTCATGATGGTCTGTAGAGATTAGCCTTCAAGTCATTTTGGTTTTTAGGAGAGAATTGTCTTTTTTATAGACTACTCTATATGTACATGAGGATGTTGATGATGCCCTACAAAAAAAGACTGGAGATTAGATCATCAAAATATTTGTATATTCATAATAATTTTTAAAAGTAATAGGTGCAGATATATGCTTACAACTTTTAAAGAAAATCAAAATCTTTGCTCCTTTTACTTGAACTATCAGAAAAAGAATAGTGAAATATTAACTAAAATCCTCTTTATAGAAATTCAGCTCTGTGTTAAGCAGTTGATAGCTAAAAACACTTTTCCGTGCCATAAAAGAACTACCATCATTGTTCTACACTTTTTATTTTAAAAATAGACATTTGCTAAGGCCCCTGACTGATAAGTCTCACACCTCATAGTCTTTCTAGAAAGACTATATTGGGAGGAAACATTCCATGGGGATTTTGTGAGTTTCATACTCAAAGGAAAAGAGTGTTGTCAACTGTGAAACACCAAGAATATACTCCAAACTGCATAAATTTAGAGCACTAATTCCAAATCATCTAAATTGGGATCTCTTCTAATTTATAGTCTGCTTAGCTATAGCAGTCATTCTAAATAAGAACCGGAGCAAGAATCCAGAAAATAATAGCAGAGGTAAAAAGAAGCTAGCAGGCAAACAATGGCAATAAGTGGTCTGGTACCTGGTACATAAGCAGAAAAGCTGGAAGTGACAAAGAGTCAAGAGCAGGCACAGTTTCCTGATTTGCCAAAAACCTTCTAGAAAAAGCATAGCCATGGTCTTTTGCAGAATTTTTTCCCTTTTTCTTAGCTCTTCTAACTAGATCGTTGTTTTCCTGTGGGTGCCCTGTTATTTGTACTTTCTTACTTACCCAATTTACTTCCTTCCCAAGATCTCCTTAATTTGGGTGTGTTACACTTACCCTGTTCAATGCTGGAATTCTTGCTGTTTATAATATCCTCCACTCCAACATGATGGAATAAAAGCAAAAAAGTAAAATAATAAAGAATGCCATTTTCCCAAGGAAAGGAAATAGCCCCCCAAAAATCTCAAATCAGAAGTGATCAAAAAACAGCAAAGATGTATTTCTTGTCAGTTGTTTACAAGAAGAAATGACTGTAAAATATCGAGCACTGTCATTGATTTGCTAATTGTACTATTTTGAACCTGATATTTAAACAAAATGAGGAGTTGGTATTTTTCATTAAAAATCACAATGTTGATAAATGATACAATTAGTTGCTTAAATTACAAGTCTTTCATATTATGTGTATAACGTGCCCAAGAGCATGACATTTGTTAATTCAGAATGAGCTCTCAATTATTCTGAACTATTAAGCTGAGTGTACTGTTTCATTAAAAGTACCACAAGACATTTCAAAAGATACTATCAAATCAGGAGTGATCTTAAAAATATTAATAACTCATATAATGTAGTTTTCAGTGAATCTCAATTGTATAGCCAGTGAACAGTGATACGAGTTGTACTAATATATACTGGCAGAATATTAATTCAGGTCGTAGGTTTTACTGGTGTCAAACACAGATTAAGAAATGAACTAAATGTTCATTAATTTATTATACATCTATGAAAAGGTACTGTGCTAGACATGATAAAAGATGCAAAAATAATTAAGATAAGATTTTTCTTATTTATAAAACCTTTGTGTTCTGTAAGAATGAGAGTCCCAAAAGATTACAGAATAAGGCAGAAGATAATAGCTGTCAAATAAGGTATTAATACAATATTATTTAAGTTCAGAGGAGGGAGCAAACATGCCTATATGGCTTCTCGGATGCATCCAAAAGATAATCATGGTGAACTGGAATTTTCAGGGTGGGAAGGGATTTCATTAGTAGCATTCTTGTCAAATGAAATGTCATAAAGAAAAGTGCAGAGGCAAGCAAGCACAAAGCATTTTTTGGCAATGTCAAATAATGCTGCCAGGAAGCAAATACACTATATAAAGTGTAAAAATATGAACATATTTCTAGGAAAATGAGTGGGCACCACATTATGAAGTGCCAAAATGAGAAGCTAATGTATTAGAATATGAATCTTTAGGCAATGCAAATGTAATGAAGGTTTTCTTGTTTTTTGGGAGTTTTTTTTCACTACCTACTATATAACTTACTTTTTATTCAAAGTACCTTGCACTCATGATGGATGCTTTTTGGGTTTTGCCACACACTGTACTATTAGAGGTTAAGTTACTTTATACCTGCAAGTTGTCCCACACAAAAACAGTGACTAGAGAAAGATGACATATCTCATGAATTAAGTGTTGTCTTTAATTGAAAAGCTAACGAACTGTCTAGTTACATTTCTCCCCCAAACCACAAACTCAGTAGTTACTGAGTCTCTAGGCAACATATTCAAAGCTGCGATTAAAAATTTAAAAACAAATCAAACAAGTCCTCAGGTGCAAGTAAGAGAGTCCTGCTGCATAGAGACTAATCTATACCAGTGGTACTGCTGGACTCTAGGAGGCTGGAAGACATTCTAAACAACCTCACTTGGAACAGTTACTACAAGTAGCCTTTTTCTAGTTTCCATCTTCTGGGTAAAGATAGTATTTTGTTAATTCTATTGCAGAAAACTTTTGCAAGTTGTTTTATTTACAATTCCAACTTTGAAAAGCTCACTAAAGTTAACTGGACAATAACTTATGAAGAAATCACTTTACAAAAAGAGGGAAAGCTGAAAATGTCAACTTTAAACAGAGAACCCACAGTTCAGTTTTATTCAGAGTAAAGAAAACCAGCAACTTTTGCTCAGACTACAAGAAATCCAGCCATTTATTTGGAAACTGTAACTCAAAGTACATATGCAATGAGAACAATTTTTTGGGTTGTTTTTGAGTTTCGTTTCTTGAATTAGGTTTTTGCAACATAGAACAGGACAGATTTCTACTTGCTGTGCAGTGCAGGCTGGCCTCAAATTTGCCATACTCCTGCCTCAGCTTCCCAACTGCTAGGATTATAGGCTTAATTAAGATTTTTAAGCAATAGAAATATGGTCAAAGATATGGGTTAGGAAACTTAAAATACATGAATGTAAATAATGAGCTGAATCTCTTGTCACTTTCTTAGTCAAAGGAGATAACTTAGGGAGAAAGGAATCACCTGGAGTCAAAATTAGCCCTAGGTGCAAAGCACAGTTGGACAAAGAACAGATGGACAAGGAGGAAA